CAGAGGCTCTCGTCGGGACGGGCACGGCCGCCCTCCTCCCGGGGACGGTGCAGGCGGGGTCCCCGACCGTTCCCCCAGGAGCCCGCCGGCCTCCCGCTCCCAGCCGAGGGGGCTCCGACGGGCAGGCCCGGGGCAGGGAGCTCGGCCGGGGCCCGAGGCGATCGGCCCCGCGGAGGGAGGACGGAAGGAGAGCCGGCGCGGCCCGGCGGGGCTGAAGGGCTGGGCCCCGCTGCGTAGAGAGCGCGGAGCATCGCTGGGTCTCGGGGCGCCGCCGTGAGGGGCCCAGGCGCCCGCCCCGCCGCCCGCGCGGCCTTACCGAGGCACTGCCCCACCGGGGTGCTGAACGGGTTCCCCAGGAGGAACTCCATCACGGGCGGACGGCTAGGCAGCGGCCCGCGCCCGTCAGCCGCCGGCTCTGCGTCCCTCGCCGCGCTCCCCGCCTGACTGACACTTACCCCCGCCCCACCCTCGGGAACGCCAGATCCGGCCCCCTGGACCCGCCCCCGCCGCGTTCTTATTGGGCCACGCCTGCTCTGCCCTCTTCCGATTGGCCCCCACACCTCCCTTAGTGAGACCCCAACCCACCCCGCAGCGTCCGATTGGGCGGGGCTGAGAGCTAGGCCACAGAAATCTCTATCACTTCCCCTGGCCCGCCTTCGGACGAGAGTCTCTGTATTTTGATTCATCGACGTATTGGTCGCTCGAGCGAGTCCTTACTATCACTGGACAAGGGACGAGTCAGTCACTCAAGTAGTGGCAAGGAGGGGGAGGGGCTAGTGAGATGCCTACCCATACAAAGTGCTGATTGGACAAACATTTGTTTTCTCTTCCGCTGGTTGGTGCTGGGAGGATTTCCCCGCCCAGAAATGTGATCACGTGGCCGTCAACTTTCACCCAGGATGTCTACCAGCTGACTTCCCCTTAGCAACGGAATGCGGCTCTAGGTTCCCCTAGCAACCGGGCGGAGCGCTAGCAGCCCGCGGCCGACGGTGCTGGAGACGCTGAGAGCCTGGGGCCCAGAGGTTGCAGGAGGACCAGCGAGGGCGGCGCTCTTGACCTTTTCCCGGAGGAGCCCGCCGGCCTGTCCCACCTGGAGGAGGACGTCCGGGCCCCCTGGCAGCCACCTCCTGGACACACGCGGGTGCCGGCTTTCGGGCCTCGCGGGGAGAGGAGGTGGGGACGCTTTTACTCCGGGCGCAGACCCCCAGGAGACCTCTGAAAGCCCATCCCCGCCTCCGGACAAGGAGAGGTACCCGGCCCACCGATACCTCTTCAAGAGGGCATCACTGACCCTCCGTCTGACCTCTCAGCTGTCGTTAACTTGTTGCCATATGAAGGGTTTTGGCTTGGAGCGTGGACACCGAGTCCATGTCCGCCTCTTGTCGGCAGCTCCCTTCCGGGGCTCAGTTTCCCCGTCTGGGAAGTTAGGGCAGCAGGGCTCCCTTCTCCAGAGCAGACCTGTAATTCAATAATGCGTGTGCACCAGCACGCAGTGAGCACTCGGTCAATGGTTGGTTTTCTCTTATTAATTCTGGGCCAGTAGGGGCTGTATTTTTCAGGTCCAGTTGATCCTAAATTCTTGTTTCACAGGGCAATTCTGGATCTGGTTCTCCGTGAGGAGACTGCTCCGTTGACTCCCAGCTGCTTTCCCGCCTTCTGCAGGAACATTCTTGTCAGGCAAGTCAACAGGAACCCCAGCTGGGTGGTAAACTATTGATAAAGTCCCCTTAGGGGAGGAGTGTTCAGGCCTCGCCCCGACCCTGAACAGCCTTGAAGAACAATGATGGTCCACAGTGCCTGGGCAGGGTCGAGTCCTGCTTCTGCGGTAGACTCTATGCGTCACCTTGGGCTAGTTGACCTTTCCGAGTAGCTTCTGTTTTCTTATTGGAAAACTGCAGGCGGTTGGTCCTTGGTGTAAATTGAGTCCAAGGTCTCTCAGATCCACCACCCTCGCACCTCTTCTCAGAACAACAGCAGAGTGAGCGTCTCAATGTTGAAGTCTGATTACGTCCCTGCCCTTGTTAAGCCCCAGGAGCTTCCCGGGGGTCATAGGATAACAACAGTCCTGTAGGCCTCTCCAGCCTCGCATTGCTTCAACCACAGTGCAACCCGACTCCTCCTGTGTCCCTAGGGCCCTCAGTGTGCAAACCCTCTTCCTTCTCTCTGGCTCATCCTCCAGGTCTCAGCCGGGTCCCTAACGTGCACTGTCACAGTTCCTCACATGATAAACTTGTCATGGTTCATAATTAAAGATGTGTGTGATTGATTCAGGTCTGAAACAGAGAGAAGATCTGTTTTATTCCCAGCCTGTAGTGACCCCTCATTACACATACGGGAGTTAAATAAAAGATCTTAAGCAAATGCAGGGGTGAGGAACTGTCCATCTTTCACAGATGGGAAATCAAAGGCTTCCCCAGTGAACTAAGAGGTGAGGTTAGTTGCCAACGGATGCGTGGTCAGAATCCACGCCCCTGCCCAAGTGTGCTTAACCAAGAGTGCACGTAACGGCTCTTCCACATGACTGTTGGGCCCCACTGAAAGCAAGCTTGACCTGTCATAGGGGCCAGGCCTTGGTGGACTGGGACTGGCAAGAAGTCAGCCAAAGCTTTGAAATAAGAATTAAGAACCATTTCCCAAAGCACAGCACTTTTCTTTAAAAAAACGACAAACACTTTCAGGCAACATCTGCCAAATACAGCACATAGCAATTTCCCCAAAGACAAATTGTTGCCAAGTTATGGGAAATCTTAGGAAAAGATTGTTTCAAGAGAGTGGGGAGATGGAGAGAGGTAGGCGGAGGACTGGAAGCATCTTTGGGAGTTGCATTGATCACCTTAAGGAGATGGAGCTGGTGTGGAGAGACTGGAGAGAACGGGATAGAAGGCGCCGGAGGAGGAGGGGGAAGGGGAGGCTGTGCCTCCTCTGGGGCAGGAGGAAAGGACACGCCACAGTTAGAGACACTGGCACAGTTGATCAGGGACATTCTGGAAACAGAATACTCACATTTGCATAAGCTGCATTGCAAGGGGTGGGGGTGGGGGAGGGCAGTGGGGCAGTGAGACCAGGTGGCAGGGCTGCCAGGCCCACCCAGTTTGCAGTGGACGCCATCAGCCCAATGCCAGGAGTCTCTCCAGCAGCACTCAGTGGGATAAGACACAGAACTCAGGGGCTGCCTAGCCTCAGGGACCAGCAGGACAGAGAGGCCTGGCTGCTGGGGACACAGGGGGTACAAAGGCAGTCGGTGAACCCACAGGGAGGTGGGGACAGGCTGGGCAGCAGAGGAAGGGCTGAGTCTGTAGAGGGTCTGGGAGGCAGAGTCGGGGCATTTCCAGTAAATCACACCCTCCTGCAGGGTCCAGCCCTTCCGGGTGCTCTCGCTAATGGGGCTGGTAAAGATGGAACCAGGTCAGGGTGCCCAGGGTCCCCAGGACTGGGACTCTTGTGCCCACAACTGACCCACTCCACACACCCCCTTTGCCTCAGTGTCTCAGCCAAATCCCTTGGCAACAGGCGCCTAGTGGAGTGAGTTTAAGGAAGAGAGGGCTGAATGTGCGAAGTCAGGACAGTCCCGGGGGCCTGAGATTTGGGACCTGTGTCAGTCTGTCCATCCTTCATCTCTTTTCCTGGATGTGTATTCCCATATCTGCTTCTGTCTGTCTGTCCACTTGACCCCCCTCACTCTCACTTGACCACATGCCTGGCCTGCCCCTGGCTCAAGCAGCGGTTCTGAGGGCACCTTCACCCTGCGGCCCCAGGAAGGACCAGCTCCAGTCAGCGTCCACCAGCGTCCCCCACCACAGCTGCTCACAGACATGGCTGCCTGCAGGCAGTGATGTGCTCAGGGAGGGGGCGCCATGGCTGGTTGGCCCGGCTGGAGCCGCCAAGGATCGTTGTTAGGGGTTGTTGTCAAGAAACCTCCAAGGGAGAGGGAGGCGCGGAAATTCAGAGGCCGAGATGGGCACGGCCATGAGGACAGCTGAACTCTGGAGGCTGAGGAGATGGGTGTGTACGCCAGGGCCAGGGGCACAGCTGTGTTATGGAGCCAAGGGTTGCTCTCTTGTGGGTCGGCACCAGGCGGGACACTGCCGGGGCCCTGGAGCAGCCCCAGTACGCAGCCGAGGGTTGGGGTGCCGCCTTCAGAGTGTCTGTGGCCGCCATGCCGCCCCACGATGGTGTGCAAAGACCCCAGGAGACCCGTCCTGCAAAGGAGGCAGGAGACGCGGCCTAGGGACAGACGTGGTGTTTTCCAGGGAGGATGCACCAGCTGTGCGACATGGAACCCAGGGTGATGGACGACGACATGCTGAAGCTGGCCGTGGGGGAGCAGGGCCCACGGGACGAGGCCGGGCAGCTGGCCAAGCAGGAGGGCATCCTCTTCAAAGACGTCCTGTCGCTGCAGCTGGACTTCCAGAGTGTGTATTCCGGGCGGGGCAGGTGCCAGGTGGGGTGGGTGGTCCGGGGTGGCCTTCGGCCCTGCCTGGGTTAGAAGGTGTAGGGCCAGCACGGACGGCTTGAAAACAAGATACTGAGTGTTGGTAGCACGTGAACACCCACAGCACCCCCACCTCCAAGTAACAACAAGAAAGGGGCAAATTCTCCCTCCAACTCTAGGAGAACTCCGAAGGCCACGCTGTCTCCACCACATCTCCACCCTGGCTCCTGGGAGCAGGGTCCCCGGCAGGGGAACCTAGGAGGGTGGTCCCACGGGTCAGGGTGCGGGGCGAGGACATGCTGGGGAGCAGCTTCAGAGAAGGGGTTGGAAACAGCAGGGGCAGGGGCCTGTCCCTCTGTGAGACGGGGTGGCTGCAGCCCCATCCTGGGTGCTGGGTGGGTGGACGAGACAAGGTAACAGAGGCCTGGCTTGCTCAAGGAGGGGGCGCAGGAGGAAGCGGGAGAGGTGGGCAGAGGTCCTGTCCCTGCTCTATCCCGGGCCTCCATGTCAGCCTGCCGGGTCATCCAGTTGACAGCAAGGACGTCCTAAGTCAGAGCTGGGGACTCGGCGGTGCCCAGGGCAGGTCCGGAGTTGCAGAGCGGGGAGGGCCCTGTGCCTCAGCCCCCTCGGCGTGAGAGGGCTAAGGGGCACAGAGTGGGTGTCCGGGCCCTCCCGGCTTCCCTGGCCCCACCTGCCGCTCAGGCGCTGTTTCTCAGACACTGTGATGCCAGGTGCTGTTCTGAGCACCAGGGAGTCAGCTGTGAACAAGACAACCTGTCCTCGTGCCGCTCGCCGTCTAGGGAGGGGGACACAGAAAATAAAGAAGGAAAATACAGTGTGTCCGAGAGGTCCCGTGTGCCCTGGAGAAAAATAAGCAAGGAGAGGAGAAAAGGGGAGTTGGGGTGTGGTGTTTTGTTGGGGGGTCAGAGGCCCCACCAAGAAGGTGACAGTTGAGCAAAAACTAGGAGGAGGTGAGGACAGGAGCCACGTGGGGATCCGGGGAAGGCGGTCCAGGCAGAGGGA